AAAAAATAAAAGTAAGATAAATAAATAAAATGAAACAAGATGCCAAAGGCACTTAAAGATTGAGAGTTGCCATTAAGAATTTCTGTTTATCAGGACCAGCAGATGGCAGTGATTGCATTCCTGGACTCCCACGTTGTCAACCACAGTTAAGAGTCCAGAACCCAGTGGCTTAAAAACCCATGCCAGACATATGTGTGTGTGTCCAAAATCCCAAGAGAAGAATGGAGAAGGGACTGTGGCATGGCCATCCCTCTCGGGGGTGATTTCTTACTGTCTGTCTCTCCAGCAAGCGCATGTGCCCTATAGCAAAATCTCGTAAAAAGAAAATTCTGTGTATCCACACACCATGAGAGAATGGAAAATAATATTCAGACACAAATACTTTTTAACAAATACAACCAACTAAATGCAAACCTTTTGACTGAATACTAAAGACTACTGTCCAGAATATATCATACAAATTAGTAAGGAGGAAAAAAAAAAAAAGATCACAAAACACAATAGTGAGATAGACAAAGGACTTGAACAGGCACTTTTCAAAAGAAACCTAGTAGCCAATAAACATATGAAGAGGTTATTCCTAATTTGGAAAATAGAAAATAAAACCACAATCAATTTCTACTATATAAACATCACATTGGCTAAAATTAAAGTCTGGCAATACTATACGTGAACAAACTGGAACTTTCATAATACATGGTGGAAAGAGTTAAAGACAAGCCCAGCACTTTACTCCTAGGTACTAGGGCTAGAAGAGGTCTTCAAAAAGTTCATGGATGGGGCCAGCAGATGGGATTAGAGGTTACGTCACTGGACTCCCACAGGGCTGACCACGGTTCGAGTCCCAGACCTGGTAGTTTCAAAATCACACCAAGTACACGTGCATGCATGCCCAAGATCCTGGGAAGAGAAAGGGTTGTGGTGTGGTCACCCCCTACGGGGGTTGATTTCTCACTTTCCCTCTCACTGTCTCTCTCCAGTGAGTGTACATACCTAAGGCAAAAGAACTAAAAAAAAAAAAAAAAAAACAAAAAAACTAAAAAAAGAGAATATGTACTATTAAAAAACTATGCATTGATCTCAAAAAAAAATTTTTTTAGATGTTTTTGCTAATATTAAAAAACAAAAAAAAATTTTTTTAGATGTTTTTGCTAAAGGATGTGTAAACTTGCCAAAGAGACAGAGATACAGAAAGCAAGAAATCATCCCCTGAGGGATGGTCACAAGAACCACAAGCCCTCCTCCTCCATTCTCCTCTCAAGATCTTGCGCACTCACACACACGAACCTGGCTGGCCCGAGTTTTAAGTTGCTGGGTCCGGGATTGCGGTCAACTATGTGGGAGTCCAGCAACATAACCATTACCCCATCTGCTGGCCCCTAGATTTCAAAAATTCTTTGCATCAAAATAAACTTACATTAACTCCCTTTTTCCACAAATTTTTGTTTTGTCTTTTTTTTTCTTTTTCACTATAGGGTATGTGGGCTTGCTATAAAGAGACAGAGTGAGAGGGAAAGCAAGAAATCACTCCCCAGGGGTGAGAGCTACACTGCAATTACTTTTCTCCATTCTCTTAGGATTTGGGGCACACATGCAGACACACCTAGGTCCAGGACTTGAACCGTGCAGTCAACCATGTGGGATTCAACACCTTCACTACCATAAAACCAACTGGCCCTCCACAAATTTTTGGAAGTTTCCTCATATAACTTATAGAAACATGTTTATGCATGCAAAGATGGTCATTTCAGCTTTACATCTAATAGTCAATAAAAGAAAATAATATCCAAGAGCCCATCAGGGAAGTATGAATGAAATGGCACATTACATGGCAATGAAAATGAATAGACTACACCTTCATGTAACATGGATTTTTAAGCAACATTGAGTAAAAGACACCAGACACATACAGTATGATTTCGTTTTTATAGAAGTCCAAAGAGGGCAACATAAACTAACCATATTGTTGCATACATAACTGACAAAATTTAAAAAAAAAAAACAGTGGGTTGAGAGAACAGAATTACCATAGTCAGAATAGTAGTTGCCCTTGGGGTACAAAGGGAGTAACAAAGGACACTCAGGGACATTCTGGAGTACTGATAGTATTTTCTCTGAATCTGGTTTGTGATTACAAAGCTATTGCTTTATAAACTATACCTGTTTCATATACTTATTTGTAGGTTATATATTTCACAAATTTTAAAAGAACATGAGAGGACTTATACTACCAAATACTGAGTCATTGGGAAAGTCATGACATATTTTTCTTTCTATGCAAAATTGTATTATGACATTTCCAACAACTCAATATTAGTATCAATTAAAATCATAATTATTGATAGTGTAGAAAAATGACAAGGCCCAGAAATAGGCTCAAGACAAAAAAGAATTTAATATTCTACAAAAATTGCATTACAAATCAGATAGGAAATGGTGATTCGATACTAATCCAATTGGTAAACTCCGCAAAAGTTAAAAGTAAATCCCTATCTCATACAATATCCCCAAATAAATCTGAGGTTTCTTTTTCACCCCAAAGTTGTGTAAATGAGTTAATGTAAATAAACAAAATAAAAATTCCTTTTAACTAAAATTCCTTTGAACTGAAATAAAAATAGTGGAAGATAAATATTTATCCATTCTTGGGGTGAGAAAAGTGTTTAAGCACACATGCAAAGGTAGACTCCTAAAGAAAAACTTCTACTGTACAATGCCATAAACTATAAAACAGCAACCAACACACTGAAAATATAATTACAATATAGGACAAAGGATGGACATTCTTAAGAAATCAAAACTTACAAATCAAGAAAAAGGACAGAATCTCCAAAAAAGTAACAAAAAAAATATGAATAATTCTCAAAAGAATGATGCAAAGGTAGACTGCTAAAGAAAAACTTCTACTGTACAATGCCATAAACTATAAAACAGCAACCAACACACTGAAAATATAATTACAATATAGGACAAAGGATGGACATTCTTAAGAAATCAAAACTTACAAATCAAGAAAAAGGACAGAATCTCCAAAAAAGTAACAAAAAAAATATGAATAATTCTCAAAAGAATGAATATAAATGGCCAATAAGCATGAAAAACAGTCAACTTTACTAGATGATCAAAGAAATACAAATTTTATATACAGCCCTTTTCTGTAATAATTCAATCTCCCAAGATTTCAAATAGTAATTTTCAGTTCTAGGGGCTTGATCTATTGCTTCTAGGACTGTAAATGGACACAATCTCTCCAATGAATGTAGTAACACCTCAAGATCCTTAAAACTTACATACTCTTTCACCCAACAATTCCTGTTCTGTAAAGGTATTGTCTGGAAGTAAGTCACTTCGCACAGATGCCAACTGCCTTTTGAAGATGGTGATCACATCACTGTTTGCATATTATGAAAAACATAGGAAATTCATTCTAAAAGTTGTAATACACCAAGGAAATGGAATATTCTGTAGCTATCTAAAATACAAAATACTTAATATGGGAAATATTTCTAATATATGGACTATGAAACAATGCATGGTCCAATTACATTTCTTAAAATATACGTGTGTAATTACATGTAGAAAAATGAGTAAAAGTCAAACACCCAAATGTTAATGGAGGCTGTCTCTGGGTGGCAGGTCAGGGGGCTGCCCAGACATGTACATGAGCCCTTCTGTATTATCCAACTTTCCAAAAGTAGCATGTATTATATCATTCTACAGACAAAGAACATAAAACATTTTCATGTTGTGAACTCATTTACTGTTTTAAAAACTAAAAATGAGACTTTTAGTGCTTTCTGAGGATACAGAGGAATAGAAAACAGTACACACACCTGGAAATGCATACAAAGGAGAACAGCCCTCCCTATCACATGGACATCTGACCTAATGTTATTTTCCATCTAATTTCATATATGAACAAGTCCCTTTCCGAGAAGTAAAATTTAATTAAGAACCCGTAAAACATCACCACTAGCATCTGAAGTTGGTCTAATTAGTATTTTATTCTTTCAACACTTTTAAAGGTTTCAACATATTAAAGAATTTTTTGATAATTTAAGTGTTAAATTCTCTGGAGACAATCATATAATCCTTTAATATGACATGAACATATATTTATATATATATACACACACATACACACACACACACACACGAGATTGAGGTTTTTGCAGCCTATATATGCCTCTTTTGGAGAAAAAAGCAATATACAGACAACAGTTTAACTGTAACTTAAAAAAAAGGTTTCCTTACCAAACACTGATGTCCTGCACATGAACCTATCATCTGTGAGGGCAATGAACTCAAGCCAAGTGAAACACTCCTTTCTCCTAGCTCAGTCAGTTTGGACTCTTCCTCTACCTTCTGTTATTCCAGGCAAACCTGGCCACCTACAAAGACACTTCACTCTCCAGTTTCTATTAAAAGTATTCATTACTCCTAATCAGAAGGAAGGTAACATTCTTTCTAAGGAAAGACAGAAGGAAGCTTGTGAGGCATCTTCTCTGAATGTCTTCCTAGGTATTACGCATCCATTTTCTCAATAGCTTCATACAAACAGCACACAATTCTCTATACAGCTCCCTTTCTTTCTCAAAATTAGAGGGAACTGTGTCTTTCTTATTTATTTTAGTTAGGTGCCTGAGACAACTAAGTATTTCACTGAAAGACATGTAATAAACACTATTTGATAGAGGTAAGAATGAGGAAAGAAAAAGGCAAAATTTCCTGCTTTCATTTGGCTCAAAGGCAAAAAAATGTGCTCTACTAAATACTAAAATATCAGACCAATGCACGACATACTGCAAAACTTTAATACAACGTGGTTAAACACAACATTCAAATATTAAACTTTTCAAGCACATTAGAGTCACCTCCTGAAAGACAGACTGGGCTGTTTTTATAACTACCTTTGTGTATTTTTATAAGATTATTTTCCTCAACAATGTCTGACACGGATCCTGATACTTGCTAAGAAGTCTGATGTAAGACAATGACATCTCAACAGTCAGAGATTTATATTATCCCAACGCCCATCTTCAGAATTCATCATCAGATGACTGATCATCAGCTTCATCCCGTACTTCTCGGTATTTTCTTGAAGACTCCCCTTCTGGATTATAACTCTGCATTTTAATGTTCAGTTTTTCAGCCAATTTTTGTGCTGCAAGCTTTGCTTGCATCTCCTTTAAAACAAAACAAAAAGTCACACATTCAGTTCCTTACAATTTTTTAATGGGAAGTTAATCAGAATCAGAAATAAAGGGGTATTACATCCCAGTCAATGGATCTCTCCAGCAATACAAAAGCCTAACACCTGTTTATACAATAAGGCAATGCTTATAAGTGCTACTAGCCCACTGTAGGTGTACTGACTTCCATTAATAAACACTGTATTGAAATATCCTACCTCTGTACAAAAAGCTGAGTAATCAGCTTATAGCTACAAGTTATAAACATTGACATCTTAAGCATGTGTATGTATATGTATGTGCATAGATGTATGTATATACACATACTCTCAAACACATAGCAATTTGACCTAGCAAATGTCAAAAATCACTAATGTGGTATTAATTTCTCCAACTGCCAAAACCTCTTCCCCTAGATAAAAGATGGCACATAAGCTTGTGTTACATTTCAAAGGCACAATGAAAATCAAGAAATTAGTGCTAAAGCATTGTCCATCCCTCTCCAAATAAAGCTGTACAGGAATTGGCATACCACACAAAGTCCAAGTAGATTTCAGGCACTGGCAAAGTGCCTACATACACCCTCGGACTTTAGCACCAACTGATGATGGGCGGCAGGACTCTTTCCTGACTCAGCTCTTCCCTTGTATCTCAACCTCTCCTAAACCACTGAACTTCATGTCCTTCCCCTCAGGCCATGGACATTATACACAGGTGTCGTGGGAGCTTATACTATTACTTCTCTGCCAAGAAAACCAATTTCAAGCTGAGGGTTTAATTCAAACTAAAAATGTCTTAGGTAGGGTCAACATTTAAGCTCCAGAGACAGTTTATTTATTTATTCATTTATTCATTCTTTTTTTGGAGAGTTTTTTGCTATAGGGCACATGCGTTCACCAGAAAGACAGGGAGAGACAGAGACAGAAAGCAAAAAATCACCCTGCAGGGAGTATGGCCACGCCGCAGTCCCTTCTCCTCCATTCTCCTCTCGGGATCTTGGGCACGCACGCACACACGCCCAGCGTGAGTTTAAGCCACCTGGTCCAGGACTCCAACCGTGGTCGACCACATGGGAGTCCAGCAACACAGTCATTTCACTAACTGCTGGTCCCTCCAGAGACAATTTAAGAAACACTTAAACACTGATAATTAGGCAGTAACTGTACTGCACTGACAGGAACAAAAATGGGATTTAAAAAGGAATGCCTTGAAAATTCCAATCTATGTCAACTGAGCTTTTATGAAATGCCAAAGCAGATTAACAGCCTAATTTTCTATTAGTGCACAGCACTTGACTAATAAGTGTTAGCTAGGAGGAGACAGGATGCCGTTTTTCCTGGAGGCTCAAATTATTACTAACTCAACACATACTGTTAAAATTCTATATAAGGGACCAGCAGTTAGCATAATGGCTACGTCGCTGGACTCCCATGTAGTCGACCACAGTTTGAGTCCTGGACCCGGTAGCTTAAAACTCATGTCGGGTGCATGTGCGTGCGTGCCCAAGATCCCAAGAGGAGAATGGAGGAAAAGGGATTGCGGCATGGCCATCCCCCCCTGGGGGGTGATTTCTTGCTTTCTGTCTCTCTGTCTCTCTCTCTGTCTGGTGAGTGCATGCGCCCTATAGCAAAAACCTCCAAAAAATCAATATAAAACACATGGCTCTCTGGAGAAAAGTGGTATATAAAATTAGGTTGCCAAAAGCAGGATATTCTTATCACATGGCCTGCATATTATGCTTTTAAGCACTGCATCCTACTGTCTGTGGGAAACACATTACCATTCTTGCACCTGTTCTAGGCCCACCTCTGTGTTGGAAACCTGGGGCCTACATTTCCCAGGTTTTAGGGTTTCTTCCTACCAGTGAGCAGCTGTCATATGGGTTTTACAGGCTGGAAGTGAGAAAAGAGATGCTACTGTTATCTTAACTGAAGTAAGCAGATGCACAGGCTTTAAGGTGGGGCCTTTTGCAGTACTCTCCCCACAGTTCCACTTTGATGTTACAGGTAGTTGTGGTCACCTCAGCTGCTTTCATAGTCCTAGCAACTCTAAAAAACTGGTGGCACATGTCTGAGAATGAGTGGCATGAACTGATCCCTTCTGTTGACTCCCTTGTTGAATCCCTGCTTCCTTGAATTATCTGAAGTAAATTCTTACTTCTATAAACCACATCCAACATACAGACAAGAAATTCATCCTCAAACTACCTCATAATTCTGTTTCTGCTGTTTCTGAAGTGCCAGAGATTCTTCTATGGAGAGCAGCTGTGTAGGCAGGTGGGGAAGTGGCAGAAGCCGAGCTGCCGTGATGTCATCAAGGTGCTGCTTATCCCTGCGCCGCCGCTCCTCTGAGGAAACAGGAGACTCTTCCCTCTGACCATGACTAGACGTGTCACTCTGCTGGGAAGGTAACCTGAAGCAGGGAAAACTTACACAATCTGGCTGTCTTTATATAGCCTTTTCTCTCTCTCTCTCACACACACACACGGCAGAAGCCGAGCTGCCGTGATGTCATCAAGGTGCTGCTTATCCCTGCGCCGCCGCTCCTCTGAGGAAACAGGAGACTCTTCCCTCTGACCATGACTAGACGTGTCACTCTGCTGGGAAGGTAACCTGAAGCAGGGAAAACTTACACAATCTGGCTGTCTTTATATAGCCTTTTCTCTCTCTCTCTCACACACACACACACAGCCTGAGTAATTCTTATACAAAAGTAATAGTAAGTTCACTGATAATCATTGCTGTAAAAGATAATAAGTTTGTATATATGTATGTCTATACATATATGCACATACACACATGCATGTGTATGCATATGTGTACATAAACACATATATACAAGCTCTTTTCATTTCCTTCCTTCTTAAACCTTACACTCAAACTGAAACTAACTTTCCCATCCATTCATTTGAACATTTGCAAAGGGGCTTATTGTACAGAAGAGGGAAAAAAAACATGAGAACAGTTTTAGTATCATATAACATCACAGGTACTGACAGACACCTATACGTGATTCACTGGAACATAACAAAGGCAGGCCAGTACTAGGGGGAGGTAAGGAGGTTGTCAGAAAAGCTTTAGAGCAGTAAAACTTGAGCAGTCCTGGAATAGTAAGTGCTCACCATGTAAATGAGGAAGCATGTATCCCAACATAGGAATGAGGGACAACGTGGCTGCAGCATACAGGAAATACAAGCAGTGGGAGTAAAACACCCAAGGAGAAGGCTGGGAAGTAGACTGGGCCCAGACTGCAATAAAGAGTTTTACTCTCCACAGCAGATTCAGATTTGCACGTTACAAATTGCTCTCTGGCAGCAGTGGAGAGGATGGACTGGCAGGTAAAACTAGAGACAGGACAAGGCCTCAGTTATAGCCTGAGAGAGACGAGTCCTCACTGTGATTGCAAAGACAGAAAATGAAGAAATACCAAGGAAATACTATGTGTTACGTAGGTCTTCATGCTCACCAGATACGGAAATGAGGGAAAACAAAGACAACCTGGGACAAAAAGACCAAGTGATGGCTGCACTACTAGGAGTTATGGAAGAGTCAGTTTGGGAAATAAAATGGGAGCTCCACTCTGTACATGACGAACCCTCTTGCCAGACACCCAAGAGGTCACATTTCATAGCCCCACCGGTCATACACATCTCAAGTTCTGGGAAGATTTGGGCTAGGGGTAGATGAGGGATAGCCTCCGATAACCAATGAACATATGAAGCCAGAAGAGCATGTGGGAGGCCAGAAAAGAACAGGACAGGAGCCCAAGGACACCATCTCCTCCCACATTCCACCTCGGAGTCACTGCTCATACACAGAAGTCCCTCAATTTCCACGTGTGTGCACACTTTCCTGATCCCTTCTAACTGCGCAGAAGACTCCTGCTCTCTTAAACTTCTCTAACCCTTGGTAGCCCTCACTGCTGTTCCTTTTCCTTCCTCTTTCTCCCACTTAAGTGGTCATAATACACAAGTAGAAACACCATATTCTTTGCTTTTATTGACCTGAAGGGTCTGGTTTTCTCAAGTGTCCTCCCTAGAGTGGAAAAAAAAACCTCACTAAGAACAAAATGAGATGATCGCTAAGTCAAAGGTTACTTTTTAATCCTACATAAAGATTAATGTAGCATAATACCATGTTTCTATACAACTGAAATAAAATGTTTTGAGACAAAGCAAAAAAAAAAAAAAAATTTGGTAGGATAGGGTTAAACTTTTTTAAAAACTTTAAAATTTTGCCAGTGGGCGCATGCACTCACTGAGGGGAGACAGAGGGAAGGGATATGAGAAAGCATCCTCACCATGGGGAATGGTCCTGCAACAATCCCTTCTCCTCCATTTCTGCCTCTTTTCAGGATTTTGGCTTACATGCACATATACGCAACATGTTTTTTAAGCCCCAGAGTCCAGAACTCAGAACACTAAGGAGTCAGGCGACCATATGGGATCCAGCCACCTTAACCACCATATCACAGGCTGGCCCAGGATTAAACTTTAAAGACTCTTAACAACAAAAGAAAAAGTTTTAGTTATCGTTAACTAGATGTTTTCAGTTTTTTCAAGAAAAGGTAGTACGCTAGTGGTTTACCTTTGTATCTGATGTAACATCCTCATAAATACAGGTAAGTGCCAGTTACCCCATCCAGATTAGAAGGTTACAGTTGCTACAAGTAAATAATTCTTTTTCTCTTCAGAGAGCATTTTTACTTGTCTGGAGAGCTCAGGAACAAAACTATGGTAAGGAACTCAGAAGCAGGTTTTTGCTCATTATGCCTGAATCTGTTTTCAGTCTTTTTATCCCTCTCTCAGTTCCTCTCTCCCTGAAACTGTTATCTTTATATAGATTTCTTTTTCCAAGTATGCAAATCTTAGCTCCTCACCTAGACCCTCAATCCTGGAACAGAATCTTCACTTCACTGTGTCCCCAAGGCACCTGCTGTTTATGTACACTGAGGACATAAGTGTGGCTTTTTAAAAATTATTTATTTGCTTTTATTTTTTTTTTTTTAATTTACTTTAGGGCACATGCACTTGGCAGAGAGAGAGAGAGATTTTTTTTTTTAATTTACTTTAGGGCACAAACAGTTGGCAGAGAGAGAGAGAGAGAGAGAAAGTGAGAAATCAGGTCCCATCTGGGATTCAAATTATGATTGGCCATGGGGGAATCCAGCACCGTAAGCACCCTGCCAACTGTTGGCCCCCACAAATGTGTTTTGCTGAGAACATCCTTCAGCTCCAGCTCCCTTTTCCTTATAAAGAGTCTAGGGACCAGCAGTTAGTGTAATGGCTATGTCACTGGACTCCAATGTAGTGGACTGCGCCCCGGAGCCAGTGGCTTAAAACTCATGCCGGGCATGTATGCATGCGTGCCCAAGATCCCCAGAGGAGAATGGAGGAGAGGGGATTGTGGCGTGGCCATCCCCCTGGGGGGGTGAGTTCTCGCTTTCTATCTCTCTGTCTGTCTGTCTGGCAAGCGCACACACCCTATAGCAAAAACCTCTCCAAAAAAAAAGACTCTATACACTAAAAAATGGTTCTTAAGAATGCATAATAATGGGGGCCAGCAGACGGTGTATAGCAGTTACATTGCTGTACTCCTACATGACCAACCAGGGTTTGAATCCCAGGCTTGAAACTCACACTGGGTATACAGGTATGTGTGCCCAAGATCCCAGGAGGAGAATGGATTGAGGAGTGCCTGCCCATACTCCCTGGGGGGGGGAGTGTCTCATTTTCTCTCTCACTATCTTCCTCTCTCTCTCCAGTGAGCACACGTGCCCTAAGGCAAAAAACAACAAAATTTAGAAAAAAAAAAAAACCTCAGAATTAAGTCTTTCCCCAACTCTTGTGTTTAGTATGAAACACTGGCTAAGCGACCTAAAGTTCAGTATTTCCCCATCTGTTACGTAAAAACTTTTAAATTATTTGGTTTTAAAACTGATGTATTTTTCAACATTAATCCTCCACTCCTCCCAGGCTGGCCTCCCTGTTGTCACAATATCCCATTCCTAAATATGAATAGTTCTCACACAAAGCCCACTGAACTTAAAGCAAAATGCTTAAAGTTCAATTTTTTAGTTTAGCAACCATCATGTTCCTGCTACCAGCCTGTTTCCAAAGGTACTTACACATTGGTTTTAAATTTATGTGGAAGGGGCACTGGGTTTTTGGCTCGCATTTCTAGCACTTCCATGTAATGAGGCTTCTTCTGGGTCCCACTACAGAGCCCTGTCGAGTTCTCAGCACTTGTGTTTTCTTCTGAGTGGTGTTCACCTTGATCGGCAATTTTGATCCTTTGTAACTTGTCAATTAACAGATTATCCAAGTTGCCAGAAGTATCCTCTGCTTGACTTGAAACGCAATGCTGAAGAAGATGCTCATTAGTTTCAGGAGAGGAAAGTGTCCTGGCTCTGTTGCTGGAAGCCGGGCACTTCACTGTGGACTCGGCCTCTTCAGTCTCTTCATCACCTTTATGAATAGGATATACAAGTCTCTGTTTTTGTGAGGTTGTTTTAGATGATGTGATGTTATCTACAGAGGAACAGCCAGGAGCTGGTGATGAAGTATCAAGTATCTGGTCAGAATTCTTGGCCTTATCAGTGTCCACATCAACTTCGACAACTGCTTTTTGCCTTAGCTTACAGTCTAAACTAACAGGATGAAACAGTTCACTTTTTCCTCTAACTTCTTCACGTTCTGCAATGGCAGCTTTCAGTTTGGCAATAGAGTTTAAGATCTTTTTACCTTTGTCGGGCAATTTGCAAATGAATTTTCTGCCAAGTAGAAAAGAATATGTATATATTAAAGCCATGCTTTTAAACTTGAGATCCATTTAAAAAGCAAAGCACTGGGACCAGCAGATGGCCTGTTACATCACTGGACTCCAACACTGTCAACCACGGTTCAAGTACCAGACCTGGTGGCTTAAAATTCACAGCAGGTGAGTGTGCATGTGTGTGTGCCCAAAACCCTGAGAGAATGGAGGAGAAGGGACTGTGGTGTGGCTATATCCCTAGGAGGTGATTTCTCAATTTCTGTCTTTCTGTCTCTCTGGAGAGCACACACGCCCTATATCAAAAAATATTCAAAAACAAAACAAAAAAGAACAAAGCATTATCCTTAAAGAGCTGATTTTTGTTTTAAATAATCTGATTTGTGGGGCCAGCAGGTGGCATGATGGTGAGAGGCACTGGACCCACATGGCCAACTGTGGTTCAAGTCCCTCCCTCTCTCTCGGTCCCTTGCTGGTCAAATTAAAATAAATAAATAAATAAAGTTAAATGAAACACTTCTTTAAAAAGAAAATCTGATTTCTAGCTGTCTCAAAACAGGAATGAAACAAGTAAGACAATCATTTTCCAAACTCCCCCCTAAAATAAGGCGATGCATCTGTCTTGTCTAACTAAAATTTCAGCAAAAGTATTTTAAGCATGTAATAATATCAAACATTCCAAAAGCTGTTTTTGAAAGTATGATCTCCAAGACCTTGTGGGTGAGGAAACAGGTCTATAATATCAAAACTATTTTCCGAATAACACGATATAATTTGTCATTTACTTGAATGGGTACAATGGAGTTTTCCAGAGGCTGTATGATATATGATACCAATGATTCTATTACTGCTCTGGAGTGATACATGTGCTTGTGTATTCCTGCTTTTAAAGACTTCTCAGTTGTATTTCTGATAAATCTATAAATATCACTAGATATAACACACATGAAACAAGAACTCTTATGCCAGTTGCAGCAGCACACGTGGGAGGGCACCACTACGTGGTAGCTGAGGCTGCATGGGAAGTCTGCGTTGGGCTCCTGGCTGGTGTGTGCCAGTAGCTGTGAGGCTGGGACAAGTGAATCACAACATGTCAAGACCGTGTCTAAATATCTCTCTTCCTATCTCCCCTCTTGCTTGTGCACACTGTCATATTTTTTTGGGGGGGGGGAGGTTTTTGGGGATGTCCAATAATTTTGAGAGTATAATGGGGTCCAGAGACCAAAAAGTTAACAGATACAAAAAAAAAAAAAAGTTAACAGATACAGATTAAAAACCTAGTCCCATAAATCAAAATCTTGTCTCTACTAGGAAGCCTTTGAGTGATTATCTGTCCCTTCTGTGAATGTCAAAACTTCCTTTTCTGATTCGTTTTTCTTTAGACAAACAATAGACGTAGCAGAAAGGTTACAACTTAGGCCCTCTATTCTGACACTACATTCATCCCCACAATTTGAACTACAGTATTAACAACTCTCTGCTGAGATTACTATTATGTTCCCAGCCTTTCTCACAACCACTTCTCCTGATTGGGTTTTTAAACAAAGTCCCCCTCCTCCCTCCCTCCCTCCCTCTCTCTCTCTCTCTCTCTCTCTCTGTCTCTGTCTCATATGCGTGTGCCTCACGACCACTTCTCCTGATTGGGTTTTTAAACAAAGATCTGTCCTACTTTTCCCTCAACTCAGCAAGCCCTAAGTAAAATCAACATTGGATGAATTCCTCTCCCCCTATTTTCCTATTTTTGTAAGTGATCGCCACATAGACTGTCAACTACATAGTCAAGTTATTCCACCCTTCACGACGTTCTCCCTGCCCTAAGGCTAGCTACCTTTGTAGTTCACTTTCTTACAACCCGTCTTTAAAAAAAAAAACCTCTCTGAAACTTACCTCCTACTATCCCAAGCCTCTTATACCGTCAAACCATCCTGCACCAAGTTTCTAAACAAAGCAGACTTTCAATAAAATCATTTTTAGCACAGCGCATCTCTGCTAAAATCCATTAGTTGATAGTTGAATGAGAGTCTAACTTTTTTTGGCCCAATAAGCCACTCTTCCCAATGGTTCTTCTAATAACAGGATCTAGAAATTAAATTAGCAAAATGATTTGGGGTGGGAGGATGACAGAAGGATTTAGAGTACAGGCTCTCTCTTTCACGGAACCCACACGGTAGCCGGGTAAATAAACCAACGAGGAGCTCCAAGTAGCTGAAGCGCTAGGCAGCCTTTCCCCAGCCGCGCCGTCACACACCAGGACATCCTGGCCCGGACGGGCACGGGGGGCGGCTGGAGCCGACGCGGGGCGGCTCCAGCCGACGCTCGCCCGCGGGACGGAAGTGAATCTGACCCGGGCAAGGTCACCTTCCAGGGAAGAGACCGCGGAGGGCGGGCAGGGCCGCGTCCCAGGGAGCCTGAACCGACGGGGCCGGGCGGCGACGCGGCAGCACCCCAGCTTACTCGTTGCGCAAAAGTCTCTCCTGGCGCCTCAACATCTCCCGCAGCTCCACCAGACTCCGCTGCCCCAAGTCCTCGGGAGCTTGGGGCTCGAAGCCGCGGGGCAGCGAGGACATTCTGCGGGGGCTGAGGCTGGCGAGGCGTCGGGCACTCGTCCTCCTCAGCAGGCCCCGCCGCTGGCGCTGGATCCGCTGCCGGCGGCGACTCCGGAGCACGAGCGGGAGACGCCATTTTCCCGGAAGAACGAGTCTTCTTCGAGCCGAATCGAGCTTTATTGAAACGCCGGAAACAAACAGCGAGCAGGAGGGGGGCCCATGGGGTGGGGGGAGCGGAAGTGACGCAGAAGACGGGGGCGCCTGAATTTGGCGCGCTTTCGGGCGCATGGTGCCTTCGGTCTATTTCTAGAAGAAGGGTTGCGTGCTCCCCGGACCCTCCCCGGACCCTCCCCGGGCCTACACATTTGTGAACAGAGAGCCACCGCCCCGCTGCTAGGGAAGGGACAGAGTGGTGGAGGGAGGCCTGTGTCAGATGTTGTCCTGTCCCTGGATCCCGGCTGGAGGCCTTGACTCCCCTGCAAGCCTCAGGACTTGTGCCCCCTTCTCCGTTGGCCTGGTAGAAGCCTGACCCTTTTCCCCTTGCCAATTATACATCTCGGTTCAAGTCCCACCTCCTCCGCGAGCCTTCCTAGATTATTCCAAAGCATATTGGTTTATTTTGGGCACAACTACAGTGCTTTTCCATCTTCCCTGATGTATGTCAACTGTGTACTAATCAGCAGAATCTCTCACAATTTTTCTCTTCACTTTTCTTTCATATTCCTCTTTTTTCTGAATGAGTTACCCCTTTTGTATTGTATATACAAATCGTATGCTTTTTATATAAGTATTAACTACAATAAATGTAAAGAGATTTTTTAGCTATAGGATATAGAGTATTTGACACAACATAGCTTAGGCTTCAAGATGTGGTAACACAAAACCTGAACTCCTGCTAACAGTCATGTACAAATGGTCTACTCCTAGGAGTAACTAAAAGGCATAGCAAGTGAAGAGACATCAACCTACAACAAAGGCAGGCTACTTGCACTTTAAAATGAAAATAGGCAAAGTATTCTTTTATAATTCATCATACAAATAGACAAGGTAAGTGTCTAGAACACAAATTTTTCATAGCAGTGTCTAGGAAAAAGAGAAAATGGAGAAATTTAACAACCAAGAAATGAACAATGAAACAAGTGTCTCAGGTTTTACTGTTTTCAGCTGAAGCAGGCAAACAAAATTGAGACAAAATTGGGCCCACAAACCACCGGTAGCTAATCTCTGCTGGTTTCCAGTTGCACATCAGAGAGCCCATCTGTTATAAAAATGAATCTAGACAAGTATTTTTAGGTTTTTTTTGTTTGTTTTTCAATGCATATTTTTAAAACATCTAAACCACTTTTTCTTGGATTAATCTCTTGAATATTGCCCTCAGAGTTAACTGATAAACTTGGCTGTGTGTGTGTGTGTGTTTTCTTTTTTTTCTTTTTTTTTTTTTTTTTTGAGAGGTTTCCGCTATAGGGCACATGCGCTCACCAGACAGACAGAGACAGAGAGACGGAAAGCTAGAAATCACCCCCCAGGGGGGATGGTCACACCACAATCCCTTCTCCATTCTCCTCTCGGGATCTTCGGCACGCATGCACACGCGCCCGGCATGAGTTTTAAGCCACCGGGTCCAGGACGCAAACCACGGTTGACTAGCCATTATGCTAACTGCTGGTTCCCACTTGGCTGTGTTTTAAAGAAAGAAAAATTCAAAACAAAAAATTAAAGGAACAAAAATTTTCATGAGCTATGTGAAGTTCTACCATGATGACTTATAGGCATCCCATTGCCACTAAGCTAGCCAAAGACATTGTTTGAGCATTATTAAAAACAAAACCTGGGAGTGATTTCCATTCGTCCTTATGAAGTTGAAGATAAAAGTTGAAATTGTTAAGTTTAGGGACCAGCAGATGGCATGGTGGTTACAACGCTGGACACTCCCACATGGCTAACCACAGTTTGAGTCCCAGACTGGTGGCTTGCTTTCTCTCTCTCTCCCTGTCTCTCTCTGGTCAAATTTTAAAAAATTAATTAATGAATAAATAAAATCATTCTTTGAAAAAAAAAGAAATTGATAAATATTGATCTTTAGAATTTTCGGGCAGTTCTTTCTTGCACTAGTGGTAAGTATTAGAGCATGAGTGACCACAAAATTGGCCATGATACATTGTAAGTTGACCAAAATGGCAGCAACATTTCTCATGCTACATGTTCTTCTTACTATGTGAGTTTAATAGTCTGTCAAGAAACTAAGTCAATCCTCTCTGTCCTTGAATGCTTATAACTACTGCAAAAGTGATTTTCCAACCAAGGTAATAAAAGATAATGTAATTTCTGTCTAATATTCTTGCCATAATTACACTTGGAACTCAGCCAATAAGTCAGGAAGAAGCCCGAGTTTGTGTAGGTGTTTTGACTATCAGCCCAATCTGAAGTCTCAGCCAAAAGGGAGCATCAACCACCA